CTGCAACTTATTGCACTTAATAACTCTTTTTAACGTCAAGCAATTCTCTGCTATATGTGTCGAACTAAAACTTTGACCTTTTGCAACGTTTTGATTTAAGTAGCCTATTATTAAAATGATAATGATATCGCACGCCGTTGCTATTGTTGATATTTACATTTGCGATATTTCGATAATTTCGATATATCGTGCAGCCCTATTCAGAATACAGATTCACTTCCATTTGAATAAGTTCACTAAATTCATGATTTGTGTGGCAGAATTAACTCTTTACTTTTATACTTATTTGTCAGGAGCGAGGAGCACAGAAAAAAGCCACAGCCGGAGGGCAAAGATCCTGCTGGATAAAAGGTTAATTAGGAAGACTGAAAACTCCTAGTCTGAGGGATGAAAGAAGCCCAGGAACAAAACGTTGTGCAGTGGACGGGGAGGGAGGGAGAAAAAGAAAACAAGAGCTCTAACATGGCAGAAATGACATTAAAAGTGAGAGCTATGAAATGAAGATGGGTTGAGTCCATCTGTCAAAATATTGAGAGCAGTGCTATACTCCGACTGTAAGGAGACCAGCCGCGTTCTGCAAGTAAAACTCAAGAACATGTCAAACTAGAAACTCCATCAGCAGAAAGTATGAGAGGGAGGTGGAATACTAAGAAAGAGGCCATCAACTGCAGAGAGACGGTTTTTCCTTTTGCAGAGTTCCTCATTGCCTGCAACTAAACTGCTGCAAACACAAGTGAAGTGCCGTTTATTCTTTCATTAAAACACACTGAAACTTAAAGTAAAACTTAGAGAAAGAGGTTGTTGCGATTAAAATGGTTCTATATAAGGTTTAGGATTATGAATTGATTATAATATTTACTTCTCTTTCTGGAGTGTGATGACGCAAAACATTTTTATTATGAGACCACACAGGGAAGAAATCTAATCTCTCTGAAAGCACTCCCTTTTCAGCACATAAAATAAGGAGTTGTTTCCTCTCATGAATACTAAATTCTTCATCTACTAACTTCTGAAGATAATATAGTCACAGAGAGAACAGATTCTTTTTTACAGTTTTAGGAGCCATCATACTTTGCAAAGTATTATACTATTACTATATTACTACTAAGAAAAAACTCAATATAAAATGCAATCTTCAACTATTATTATTGTTGTTGTTGTTGCTGTTATTATATACACTACCATTTAAAACCTTTGGGGTCGGTAAGCTTTTTAAATGTTTTTGAAAAAAAGTGTCTTTAGTTTTATTCTTAGAAATGTTTTTACAATTCAAAATAACTATTCTATTTTATAACTATTCTATTATTCCATTTTACTACATTTTAAAATGTCATTTATTCCTGTCACATGATCCTTCAGAAATCAAGCTGATTTAGTGCTCAACATTTTTTCATCAATGTTAAAAATAGTTGTGTTTAATACGGTTTGTGTAAACTGTGATACATTTTTTTCAGGATTGTTTAATGAACAGAAAGTTCAAATGAACCATTTATTTGAAATAAAAATCTTTTGTAACATTATAAATGCTTTTACTGTAACTTTTGATCAATTTCATGCATCCTTGCTGAAGTATTAACTTCTTTTTGTTTAAACCTACTGACCCCAAAGTTTTGAACGGTAGTGTAGTAATAATTTATAATTAATTTGTGTCTATGTATTAAACACGGACAGTCCTGCTGGGGTTCTTGCAAACTTTCAGACTGTTCTCAAGTTAAAATCTTTAGAAATCACAAAATAGAATTAAATGATCATAAAATGTCAAAATGAATAAATGTATAATTAAATATAATGCTGTTAACAAATTAACTTCAACAGAGACTGTGACACATAACAGAAAATATTCACAAGTTATGAAAGAACATTGTTCATACAAGGTCATTCTCTGAGAGATGTTGCAGGTGCTTTGTTTTGCTTATCCTAGCTGCCAGTAAGAACAAGGCTCACATTCATGGTGGAAAACATGTGATACATTGTTGCAAGAAAACTGGCTTGGATAGATTAGTGTAACTATTTGCTGTGGTACATTTAATTAATTATTGTAATTCTTTAACATTCTTATTATTCAATAATCATACAGTACATTCTTGTGTACTTGATATGATATGTACTCTCACTCATGCAGATTCATTCATATACACATTTACATTATGTTTACTTTCACGCTATTTTCAAATTATTAAATGGTTTACAGTAAGCGAGAGTTTATCTCTGCTAGGCTTTCTGTTTAATTTTCTAAAGATAGCTGTTAAGGATTTGCTTCCTTTCCATGAAAACTGTGAAGCTCTTCCTTCCATTGGGAGCTTTGCATTATTGCATCCTCACAATCTTTTTGTCTTGA